CACAAGAAGCCAACGTTTATTCAAACATTATAGAAAGTAACTCTCTCGTGCATTAACTTAGCTTAACCTTACAACCTGAAACTGAGGAATCAGTGGTATCCACTCAAGCCTCTGAACCTTAAAAAAATCTAGCAATAGAAAATGACGCGAAAAAATCTAGGACTATTTAGAATAGCAATTGATAAATTTCGGAATACCAACCCAACTAAACGACCTTATATACCAAAACAAAAAGCTTCCAAAAGGCTGGCATAAATTGTACTTACTTACTTACTTATCTTCACGCACAATCCCTAACGGGGTAGCCAGAGAGAACAGATCGCCAAGTGTCACGATCCTTACATACCTCTTTCGCTTCTTTCAGGTTCATTAACTTCTTCATACATGCACGTCTAGGTATCCGAGTACTCTTGACCCTCCCCTCTTCGAGCAATTTGCTCACATGGTCCTCGAAAGTTAGTCTCGGTCTACCTCGACACCTTTTAATATTTACTTTCGCTCTATATATTTTCTTCACCATTCGGTCTTCACTCATTCGTTCAACGTGCCCAAACCATTGGAGTACGCCCCTATCAATTTTTGTGATAACGTCATCTTTCAATCCTGCCATATTGCGAATCTCTTCGTTTCGCTTTCTATCGGCTATGGTAACGCCACACATTTTACGAAGAGATCGCATCTCCACTGCATTCAACTTGCCTTTATGCTTCTTCTGGCATACCCAGGTTTCGCTGCCATATAACAAAATCGGTACCAACACTGCGTTATGTATTGCAAGGCGTGCACTCTTCACCACGCCTTGCCTTTTTACTAATGCATTCAGGGCACCATTGACTTTGTTTCCGGCAGCGACACGCCTATCCACATCTAAATCACATCTTCCATCCCGGCATAAATTGTAGATTTTATAAAAACTAAAATATTACCAAATCATATATCGAGAGAGCAGGATTTTGAGATCACTCAGAAGATAATTTACTGCGTTGCGTACACAGTAGCTATAAGTAACGGAACTAAAAGCAGAGACACAAACACAACGCCTGCCCAAAATCGAAATAAAGAACCTGCCTGGCAGTAATGGTTGCAAAAAAAGATATTGAATTTCAGAAGAGACATTGGAAGGCTAACACTTACGCTTAACGACACTATAAAAAGATACCTTAACTGTTCACTTAAGAAGTCACAAAATAGCCAGTTTATCAACAATGAAAAACAATTTTATAGGAGCCTGACTTCAGACACGCAACACGACACACATAGAAAAAGGCAACATGCCACCCGCCAATGAATTACATAGCTTCTAGTCTGGTATTTGGTCTATACCAGTTCACCACAACACTAAGATAGAATGGATGAACACAGATTCCGAAGTAACTGATTCTACCACAGCAATGGCATTTGAACAAATACCTCTCGAAGTATTTGTGCATATGTTAAAAATTACCCATAGCTGGAAAGCACCCGGAAGTGACCGTATACATAACTACTGGTATAAGATTCTTACAACATAATGATTTCTTATATTTACGCGAACACTACACATTGATTAAAACTATTTTTACGGATTTTATCGCGTTTATTTTACTATTATTTTTAATTCCCGACGTTTCGGGCGCTTCCAGCACCCATGGTCTCAGTCATCTCAGTCCCCCGTGACCATGGGTGCTGGAAAGCGCCCGAAACGTCGGGAATTAAAAATAATAGTAAAATAAACGCGATAAAATCTCTTCTAAAATTAAGCGCTACAAAATAGTTTTATTCATTGTCTAATTTTCGCATAAATATATGGACTTGTGATTCAGCTGTAATGATCATGACTTTTATAATACAAGTAGAGGAAAAAAATATTTCGATTAAAATAAAATACCAAAATTTATGTCATTAAAATTCAGCTACAGAACAAGAAAACGTAATCAGAACTATAATAAGTGTATGTAATATTTATAACCTTTAATTTATTGAATAATGAATGATCGCTAATAATCACACATCGATGGCCCAACGAATAAACGTGCAAGAGCTCTTACCCAAATTTTTTTTCTCGTATTTTTCGTTTGCTTGGTCTATTATACACCTATATTTTTTTTGAATATTTTAGACTTCGAATAAGCCTTTTATAGCACAATATTCCTTTATTGTACAGAAAAAAATATTTACATATAACATGAATAATAAAACATGCGCTTATTGCCGATTATTAGTTTATTTGAGTTCACCAGAATAAACGTGTTAAATTAATCTACCACTCGTGTCTATCTTTCCTTTGGGTAATAACTCTTGCAGGATTTTTCGTGTAAAAACGCAAGCGACTTTTATCAGTAATGCCTCATTGCAGGCGGTAAAACTTTGAATATAATAATTACAGCTATGCTATTGTCTTTTAACATTTTCTCTTGTTTTTCTATTTTTGTAAAGGTTTAAGCCCTAATATTATTCACATGAATTTGAAGTTACTGATAGTAACCGTTTAATAAACGGATACTTTCCCAATAGTGTCGTTTGCAATCGCTCGTTACAAAAGGGGCGAAGCGGGGGCGGGGTATGTAAGATGCGCGTGACATCGCTAGACTCCGGAAGGTCAGTCCGGATGCGAATTTGTTCGAGTTATTATGTAATTTCGTTTGTTTACTGAGCACATGCATTGTTGTTAATATTCTTATTAAATCATTAATGAGTGATAAGTATAATTATGAATAGACACAGATGGACTTCAAGTCGTTGCAGAAAGATATTAAAATTGGTGAACTATAGGATACACGGTATGTACCTACATATTATTATTGATTAACTACTTTTGTAAGTAAGAGGATACGCACTTTAATCAATGGAAATTGGGTTCTTATTATTCTTTCCCTTTATAACAGGTGGTACCATGTTATGTGGACTCCGACAACCTTTTTAGTTAAATGTAATAAGAACGAAAATCACCTGACACAGGCACCGCGCGGCGGTTGCCTATTATTTAGCTAATTTATTGTCTTATGTATTATGTAACTATTCTCTTTAGAAGGATTATTTGCTTTTACAGGCTCAGCTGATATTGTATCCAGTAAACATTTTTTGATCCATGTTAAGTACTGTTTTTTTTTTCAGACAATATTATTAATGAAGATGACATAGTATTGAACTTGAAGAACAAAATGAAATTAAAGGTGAGAATGATTAAACTTTTTCTTTGGTTGTTGGTTAGATATAATATATATATATATATATATATATATATATATATATATATATATATATATATATAAAATATTTCAAAACTTACCAAGAGCTGCGTGGGAGTGATGGGCTGAGTGTATATGTAAATAAATAGTTATTGAAAACATAGTAATGTAGTCATTTGAGTAATTTGTTTCAGAAAATTTCACATATCTTTCGCGAAGTTCTTTCCCCATTGATGGCAAATCAGACCTCAAAGAAGTCAACTCAGAACCTGATGATTTTATTACACCGGCTCCATTAATAGTAGTAAATGTATCTATAAATGATAATAATACCTCACCACCAAATGTAGTAACAAATGACATTTAGATATTTCTCATAATGTTATTGAATCATTACTACCTGAAATGGAATACCCTACTCCATTGCAATCTGTAAATAATAATGATGATTTACAGACTACTGATAATTCTATTGTAAGACACCATCAACCCAACAAAAAATAGATTTTATAGCCACGCCGACTGTTTTATAAATTAATGATTACGATCTAAGAAATATTTCCGACTTAGAGGGTTTTTTTTACATAGTTTTGAAACACAAAATATATCACAGGATATTGTATCTACAGAATCGGAGGAAAGACCCGTCTCCTATAGAAACGCTTACGAAAAAGAGAAAAATAGATCATAATTTATGGAAAGATCGCAAAAATAAAACTCTTAAAAATTCTGGTAAAAGTTATGACAGTGTTAGAACTTAAAAGCAAAACGTAGAAAAAACTATAGGTCCACCATGCAACTGCAAACTGAAATGTTACGAAAAGATACAGCAAAATATGAGGCGTAAAATTTTTCAAAATTTTTGTGCTATCGGGGACCACGAAAGACAGTGGGATTTTATTAACCGCCATGTAAAAAAAGAAAACATCAAAAAATTACAGTTGAACGTAAAAATAATCGTACTCAAACATTAACATATCAACTATTCGATGATACTAATTCCATGATCAAAGTTTGTAAAACTATGTTTTTAAGTACCTTGTCCATTACACAGCAAGTAGTATACACAACTATTGATAAATTGGGAGATGACAATCATTTAAAAGATTACAGAGGATCTCATAAGAATAGGCCAAGAAGAATGTCAGAAGAGACTGAGAAAAGTATAATTGACCATATAAATCTATTTGAAAGAGTTGAATCACACTATACTCATAAAGATAGTCAAAAGCAATATCTGTGTGAAACATTGAATGTCTCTAAAATGCACCGACTATATTTAGAATGGATAGATACAAACCACCAGTACAATCAAACTTGCAAAGCAACTAAACGGCAGTATGAAATAATATTTAATACGAAGTTTAACCTATCCTTTCACAAACCTAAAAAAGATTTATGTGAAATATGTTCAATTTACCAAACTTCTGATGATGTTAGAAAAGAACAGTTAAAAGCTGACTATGAAAAGCACTTGAAAGAAAAACAAAATGGTAAGGCAATTAAAGGAACAAGAAAAGGAAAAATTTTGTTCAGGTCACAGTGTTGTAGCATGTTTTGATCTGGAAAAAGTGTTAAATATCCCCCAAAGTGAAGTAGGCATATTTCATTATAAACGAAAGTATCCTGTATACAATTTCACGATTTGTAATATCTTAGAGAAGAAAGGTTACTGCTACGTCTGGCATTGTCAAATTACGAAAAGGGGTGCGATAGAAATAGCTAGTTGTCTTTGGTCATTTATCCAGGCACACGTTGAATTAGGAATAAAAAAACATATCCTTTTATTCTGATTCATGCGCAGGGCAAAATTGTAATCGTTTCGTATTCGCCATGTTTTCTTTAGCGGCGAAGAAATACAACATAAAAATAACACATAGGTTTTTGGAGAAAGGTCATAGCCAATCGGAGGGCAATTTTATGCATGCTGCTATTGAGCGTTCTAAGAAAAAGCATACTATCTACACACCTGATCAAATGTATTCCTTAATAGAGAACGCCAAAATTACCGGGCGTAAGTATCAAGTAAAACAAATGACGCAAGCTTATTTCATAGATTTTAAAGAATTAATTAAACGAAAGAATTGGTTAAAAGATACAGATGGTAATAAAATTTACTGGAGCAAAATTAAAGAAGTAGTTTTTCCTTATAATCAACCTGATACAGTTTACTTTAGATACAGTTTTGAAGACGAATTACAAGAGATGCAAACCAACACAGAACCTATAAACACGCTGAAAACCTAAAACTCGCATACACTGGAATGCTGCCCATACCTCCTCCTTTATGTAGAGATTTAATAAGTCTGTGTGACTCGGGAGCCACACCAAACCATTACCAGTGTTTTTACAGAAATCTAGTGCCATTAAATTCCACCTCAGTTACCAACGATAGTGACGAGGAGAATTATTAGTAACCACTTATTAGTTGTTTTCTGTTAGATTTTTCTTATTTTTGTTTTAGGAATAGTATACTTGATAAGTACCTACTTCATTCTAAATTGGATAAATAAATAGTAATTATTCTTATTAACAATATTTTTTATTGAACCTTCAACAAAAAAAAAAATAGCTAATTTACATTATATAACATGCACTAATAAAGTCGTATTACATAAATATTGAGTCGATCTTGTTAACACAAATATACGGGGCTTTATCTTTACAAATATGTAAAAGCAACAAAATATACAAAAATAAGAGTATAGATGACCAGAGCAAGGCTCAGGGAAAAAAAAAATACGTGGAATAACCATGCAACATTTCACTACATTTGTTTAAGCTTCACTTATGACGCGAATAAACGTGCAGTGATACAATAATGTTAACAAGTCACATATTTGTCTATTTATTATGTAATTAAAGTTATGTGATTCCAAACGTTTTTATATCTTCCTGAAAAGTTGTCGTTTTTCGATTGCACGTTTATTCGTTGGGGCCATCGATATAATCTTTTACTAATCATATAATTATTAACGCCTGTTTGATTAAATTAAAGCTTGTGGAAACCAAGGCTCAAGTTATTGGTAAGTCTAAATTTTCTTATAAAGTAATTGAACGGAATTAACTGTAAAATATCGTTTAATTAAACATCTAATTATATTAAAAAAATCTTTAAAATCATGCTACGCAGTTTTAATCTTTATTCCGTTAGTCAAATAGGTCAAGATAAAATAAGACTCCGATAAAATTGACCTACGCAATGTGGCGTACCAGAACCGACGTCAAGCGTTCTTAATGGCCTAGAACAAAACGAAACAATGAAATTAGTGAAGCGCTAATTAAACAGACATTAGTAATTACCGGATTGCATGTTTTACTCTCTTATTGTAAATTTTTGTATGATATAAGTAACATACGATTTACCTGCTGGTTGACGATTGCCGTGGCATTTTACAAACTTAACATCAATTTTTATTTGGTAAATTTTTCACATTTATATTTTTTGTTTAGATAGAATATTTAATTAAAATAATAGAGAATATTTAATTATAAATATTATTTAGACATCTTACCTTTAATAATTAGTTGGTTTCAGCTGTGTATTAAACTAATTATTAAAGGGAAGTAAAGTTTTGAATACGTGAAGTTTGAGATATTTATTTCGTGAGTATTCCAACAAGATATTTTTTTTTATTTCAGCGCCAGGAACGTCATTAACTTTAAGAATTTCTGAAAGCTTCAGGAACATTGCTATCTAACTAACTCACCCTGGAGGCATTCAGATACGTTTTTCTTTCACGTTCTGTCCTTACAGCGCATACTTTATTTCTATTTGCCCGTGCCGTGAGGTAAGCGGGGTAAGTTGAGGGTGGGGGGTTAGAGACACGCGCGTTAGCGTCGCCCCAGCCAGTCGAAGCTGCGACGAACTTGTGTAAGCTTGTCGCTCAAATAAATACCCATAAAAACTGTGACCTAACATAGTGTATGTGTCGTGATAAAGTGCACCTTACCGCACATGCGTTCCAAATTTATGGTGATAGACTAATGAATGTGACTTGTGATTGTTAGTGGTTGCGTGCAACTAAGTGAGTTCATTGCGAGTTCGTGTTACTAACTCTCGTCGTGCAATCAAATTAATTTTGCCTCCGGTAAGTTCTATTAATTTGTTTAATCAAAATACCATAGAGTAACACATGCTTATTTCTCTGGTTATATTTCGGGTGAATACGTAGATACAGCCATGCATTTAACTCATAGGTGTATTTTTTTCGTTAGTTTAATGCACAATTAATTTTAATTACAATATTTAGCATAGGCGTTTGATTTTTATGAAGTAATATAAGGTAACAAAATTTAATTAGCCCTTTATTCATATAAATAACAAAAAAACTAGTCCAATCTAATTTTAAGAAGGTGATGTGACAGTTAGTGACTTAATAGTCATTAGGTTACTGTCGCTTTAAGCGTGCTGACTCAAAATTAAGAAAGTCGTGAGTTCGAATCCCCCACTCAACTACTCTTCTAAGCTATTTTTAACACGCTCAATTTAAACTTTCTTGTAGTAATTAACGGTAATTTTCCTAAGGTTACAAGTAGAAGATTGTAAACATAGTTTTTATTTTGCAATAACTTAAAATGAACTGTATAATTACTATCACTTAATTTGTACTTTGTATTTGACTACTAATCAATGTGAAAAATATATTATAAAACAATTTTACTTAATTATAAGATTACAATAAGCCACTTTAAGGATATTTTCTAAATATCCTTAAAATAGCTTATTGTAAATCTTACTAAAAGTCGACTTAATTTTACGACTTTCTCATTCCCGACGTAATATGATATATATATCCACTCGACAAAGGGAAATAAACCACGGTACCTACGTCTTAAAAATAACAATTAAAAAACAAAACAAAAAATAACTGCGGCTTTCAATTGCCAGCGTGCCAATCATGGCATAAATATTGCAAAATACATGAGGCAATCTGTGGGGAAGGCAGTATTCAGCAGTGCATTTGTGATGGCCTGTATATTTATCAAGGTGATAGCTACAAATGAATGTGAAAACTAAACAAACAAATGAAACTTTTATACTTCGATTATCATACCATTTTATATCACGAAAATTACACGGCAGGATATTTCCATGTTTATCTCCACTTAAATAATTGTTAATGGAAGAAAATTCCTTTATGCATAGTCTGCAATATGGAGATCATGATATTTAACTGAGAAAGAAAACCGTATCCAGCGATCATTATAATAGACGAAAGGAAGTCTCGCGGTATCAATTTTCCAAGCCTGCATGAGTTATATTCACTCCTTTGCAATATTAGGTATTTTATCCACCAACATTTATATAAAGAAACAACCTACGAAAAACTAGAATTATTTGTAATCAAATAAAGTTTTCACTATATTATTCCGAGAAATTTTTTTCAGTTTCTGAAAGCTGGTTCTGTTTCTAATTACTGAAAAGGCGCTCTAGTTTGTTAAGTTATTTAAAGAAGAGTTTAAATATGGGAAACACATGTCTGTATATTCAAAAATGGGCAGCATAAGTAACTATTAAAGCATTATTTTAGTCTTGAAGAAAATTTTGAAGCGATAAAAGAACGTAAACTTTACGACATGTTTTCGACATATGAACCCAGCTCGGGGTGCAATCAATATGGAGATCATGATATTTAACTGAGAAAGAAAACCGTATCCAACGATCATTATAATAGATGAAAGGAAGTCTCGCGGTATCAATTTTCCAAGCCTACATGAGTTATATTCAATCCTTATCATTTCCTAGGGTTTACAAACATTTCTAATCGTATGGAAGAGTCATGAATTGTATAATGTATGTCACAAAGTAGGTCATTAGTATACAAATAGTACGAAAAATCAATATTGGATGTGATGGAGTTAATAAAAACAGTAAAGATTAACGGGAAACGTATACCGTCGTGTAGTTATTTGCTCCACGTGGACGTACCACTAACGTCTGTGAAATAAGATGACAATCGCTTCAAGAGTAACGGTGCAAATTTAAAATAAGAAAGCATAGTAAAAAATTACTATTAACTATTTTCAAATAAAATCGAAATAAAAATGTACACACATATTATATTATATTATTGTATTTTATAATATATCACTAATAGACTGTATGTTCATGATAACTTATAATTCATTAAGAGCATACAATTTGACTCAATGTCAGTAAGATATTATATTATGACGCTTATGTCACATGTCCAGAATCGTTTGGAATACTACGCCCGAAGCTGTACGAGTATATTTTCTTAAGACAACTTGTCTGAATATTTAAGTTCGACAACTTATCTTGGCTACACAGTTTTTAGAAGATTGTGGCACATACAAACATTTATTACTCAAAACCTTTAAACAAGAGTGTACAGCCAGTACGTGTTGCTAATTATGAAAAATAAAACTAAAAAAGTCCTTCATTACGTTACAGGAATCTAAAAGTAGTATGAGGAAGTCTATAGTTATCAGAGCTTTGCTTGAAGTTTCTATGCGTGAAGTAATATGTCACGTAGCAGAACCAGAGTAACCGAATAGCTCAACGACAATAGATGTGAAATAAAATTTCTAGAGTGGCATCAGCTTATTGGCAAGCGGAGAATGGAACAGTTTCTCACCAGATGGAGTGACGACCTGGTAAGACGTACATAGGTACTTGACTGCACCAAAATTCTTTACTGTATAAAGGTTTAAAACTTGGGGTTTTGCCTCAACTCTTGTACCTCTTTGACCTCACAGGTTAATTCGTGTTTTTTATTCACTCACATGATATGGATACATTTGATATATATATTACGAATAAAATGACGCCTGAGTTCAGCTCTTCGAGGAGATGGTGTACTACTGTCCGACTAAACAATAAAAATTAGCATGGTCTTGTCTTTTCTTAACAAATATCGATCTACACTCTGGGCATATTCTGATAATGATGAAAACATTCAAAATAACGGAAAACATGGCCGCCATACCAATTTTAAAGAGTTATAACTTCAGCAAAAGTTGGGAATAGTTTGGTGTTGCTCGAACTAATGTTGTAGGGACTGATAAGGGTCAACTGCTAGCGATAAAAACATTTAACAACAATTAAACAACTATGACACATTAAATAAAATGAACAGACACATATTCAACGATAACTGAAAAATTAAAAATAAATTAATCATAAAATATCATTTATAAACCAAGCATTTATTTAAATCCTATAAAAAGAAGAAAACAAGCTTTACGTTAAATAAAACCCATCAATTTATTACATTATACAA